CAAAAAAAAACACAACAACAACAACAAAAAAACAACAACAACAAAATCATCAAAACATAAGTAAAATTCGTAGAAATACAAAACAAAAGCAATAACAACAAGGAAAACAACGACAATAAGAATAGCAGCAACAGAAGCAGTAGCAACAACAGCAGCAACAAAAACAACAACAATAACAGCAACATCAGTAACAAACAAAACAAAAACAGATTAGGAAAAATTAAGGCCAACGAAACAATCAATGTTCATGTACCGACTGCGCCACACAACGACATGTGGGACTCATAAACAACCTCCTGTTCCTCGGACTCATCGGTCTCATCAGCCTCGGTTGGGTTGACCGACCCCACCCGTGCCATGCCCTGTACTGTCATGGTCATCAGTCCTCGGATGAACAAACAACACCACGCCCAAAGAATGTTAAAACATTCTGTTAGTTTAAATGTTTTTGCCTCTCTGCTTTGGCCAGAGGAAATTGTACGTGTTTCACGACCCTTTCAGCACTGTAAGGTTGCAGGCTCATATTATGACCTTATGCAGTTGCGAACGCCGTAAAACACTTACCAAAAAACTGTAAGGTTATTTAAGAGGCGGGACCTCCGCCGAATGTAACGTCCTTTTCAAATAGGACCACGCCATGTCGAAGATGAGCCTTGAACACTCCCTAACACAACTCAAGTTCAAAACGATCCGTTCGGTATTCGAACAAGGGCCATACGTTCCAAAGTACAGCGCGGCGCCAACTGACCTTACGTTATTTATATGACATAATGCTGTCGCGAGCGCCTTACAAAAATATGACCAATCTTAGCAATGACAATAATCGTGTGATTGGACGATGTCATCCGTAGGTTCTACTTCTTTATTAACCATCTGTTTTGTCTGTTTGTCAACTTCTCTTTATTTTTGTTTTCAGCACCAAATGCCCGTTCTTGTGTCGATGTGTTTCTTTTTACCTAAATAAACTTTGGCCATAAATTTTCTCTCACCGCAGGGTCACTAAGGTCAAGACACTTGAACAGCCAGCTGTGCAGTGAATTGTGATAGGCCAGCTTTCTGGGCGGGCATGTTTTTACCTGTACGTTTTGAATGTTTTATCGATCCAACGTCCTTAAAAGCGACAGCGTGTTCTTGCGTACCTGCTCCTTGTGGTTGTGGGATCACTGTCGTTTTTATCTAAGTGCACTACGATATCACAATGTAGTATCAGTAACTTGATAGTGTCAATAAGACTATTAAAGTATTGATAGTACTGTAAGGCACTCAACTGTGTGGATGGTTGGCGGGTACTCTTGTCGGGCTTGTTCCTTCTTTTTTTTTATCAAGCATCACTTGTCCTTATCGCTTTTCATTTTCTTTGTATGCTACTCTCTAGTAACTTCTCTAATTTTCGGTATTTATTTGACCTATTTGTGTCGCAAGTACCATAAAACATTCTTGCTAAAACTTAACTCAACTTTTCTTCCTTCCTCCATGATACAGCCTGTCCTATCATCCCCACTTTCGCCAAGGGGTGCGGTCGACCTTACACTGTCTGGACTATGACCTCCCCCCCCCCTCCCTAACCTC